CTGTTTTTTTTAGCAATGTGACTTTTTAACTTTAGCTTAGTGTCAAACGTCATTCCGAGGTAAGTGAACTCATTGGTTTTTTCTATGGTAGTATCCTTGTACCTTAGATGCGGGTTTATGCTGTGATGGGCCAAAAAAATGTTTGGAATGGAGTTTTTGTGGTGATAATTACCATTCCATTGTTGTCGCACCAGTTTGCTAGCAGTTTAAGTGCACGTTTAGCATGTCTTCAATTTCCTTTCCAGCTATGTTTGTAGCCTTGTAGCCCCATCTTGTGGAGTGGGCGTTGAAGTCTCCTAATACTACTTTTGTGTGAGTGGGCGTTGAAGTCTCCTAATACTATAGTTTTGTGTGATTCCAGCTATGTTTGTATCTTAGCCCATCGGGTGGAATGGGCGTTGAAGTCTCCTAATACTACTTTTGTGTGAGTGGGCGTTGAAGTCTCCTAATACTATAGTTTTGTGTGATTCCAGCTATGTTTGTATCTTGTAGCCCCATCTTGTGGAGTGGGCGTTGAAATCTCCTAATACTATAGTTTTGTGTGAGAAGTCCAGCTATGTTTGTATCCTTGTAGCCCCATCTGGTGGAATGGGCGTTGAAGTCTCCTAATACTATAGTTTTGTGTGAGATGTTTAGAAAGTTAAAGTTTGGACAATTCTGGGGTGGGTTATAGACAGCATATATCTTGAAGTGGTTTTGACATCTCAGGTGGATTATAGACTGCAAATATCTAGAAGTGGTTTTGACATTCCCAAATCATTAATCTGATTATTTCACATTTGTCTTGTGTCGAGCCCATACTCCTGATTATTTCACATTTGTCTTGTGTCGAGCTCATACTCTTAATTATTTCACATTTGTCTTGTGTCGAGCCCCCATACTCTTGATTAGGTCGTAGTGTGAGGTGAGGCCTTTTTTACGCCAGTTAGAATTCCACTTAAACTTGCCGGTATTTAGGTAGAAGGCACAGGGTGTAACCTAAGGCCTTCTTTTACTCCAGTCAGAATTCCACTTGCAAATTCCCTCTTCTTTTACGCCAGTTAGAATTCCACTTACAACTTGCCTGTATTTAGGTAGATTGTACAGGGTGTAACCTGGGAATCGGTAGTACTTCAGTTTGCCTTCCGAAATGTTAGTTTCTATAATTGTGAAAATATCTACATCATAGGTTTGCAGGATTTTCTGTACTTGGATCTTTTTGTCCGGAGACATTCCTCCAGCATTCCACTGGAGGATCTGAAGACGTTGTGATTCGCCCTGACGAGGGCGATTTTTCTTATAGCCTTTTTTAAAGCTAAACATAATTAATCGAAGTCAAAAACGAATGCCGAGTGATAGACTTTTTGCCGTAAGAAAATACGTTTCCAGGGTGCACCACGTGGAGGTAAGTCTATCTCGCACCCCTTTTTAGAACATTTTGATATTGCCCTTGGCAACGTTTCCAATAGCGAACAAATGATATTATATGGACTTAAATACGTTTCATTGAGAATTCTTCTTAATCAAGTATTCAAATAAGTTAACCCAGGTAAGTATCCATATATATTTTTACTACTAACTAGAAAATTCTTCAATGCAACACATGGATAAACTGGCAGGCCATTTAAAGAAAACAAACCTTTGACTATTCATGTTCATTAAGAGTTTGTACTTATTCCTTCCGACATTACTTTGCCATTTAATAAATTGAAACAATGTCTAATAATAGGAAATGAGTCAGTGATAAATAAGTTTGTCCATTCTTAAGTTACAATTATAAGAACTGAAATATGAAATCTTTATGTGTCCATACAAATGCCGTTTTTGAAAGATATTGCTTCTAAAATTTTCGTTCATGAATGCCATTTCTCCTGAATGGAGCTGATGACGCCATAATAAACAAATCCTTTGCGATGGGTCTCGGTTCATACACATCAAAACTCTAATGATTTTACTATTGTGCGTCTCTTCGTGGAAAACCCAGTCAAGCATATTTGAAAAGCGCATTCCACATATATTGCATTTGAATGATTCATTTCGATTATGGCAACGCATTCGACCCCTCAAGTGGGCATGCTGTAAAAACGCATTTTGCATACGTTGCCTCTGCATGGTCTTTTACTTGTATGCACAAGGTAGTTTTCATTCAAAGTTGGTTTAACTAAAAATCTTTTATTACTTTCACAACATGTGTATGATTTTTTCCCGTATGAGAACGCATATGCCGAGTCAAATCATCTTTGCGTTTGAAAGCTTTTTCGCATACTTCACATTTGTAAGGCCTTTCTTCACTATGGGAAAGCATATGCCTGGTTAAATGTGATTGATTTTTAAATTTTAATTCACATTTACTGCAAATGTACGGGTTTTCATAACCGTGGATCCGTTTATGAGAATTCAGTTCAGTATTTGTATAAAATTGATCTCCACAAGCTTCACATTCGAATAGTTTCTTGCCACTATGTCTGAGTTTGTGATGGTCCAAAGTTCGTTGACAACTAAGGGTTTTATTGCATACATCGCAAGTGAAGCGTTTTTCTTTATTTGTGGTTTCATTACTCATTTTAGCGATGCTCTCACCAACTTCATCTAATGGACCATGTTTAGTTGGCAGGTTATTGCACACAATAGAATTGGACTTGTTCAAGGGAGCTAAAAATAAGAAGAATTTGTGTATAACAGACACTTTTAACGTCCTATCTATAGTTGGTAGTTATTTTACTTACAGCAATATATGTAAGATTGAATGCTAAATCATAGGGAAATCATTTTTGCATCAGATACTTTCAGATTAAAAAATTCCACTTTTAAAGGCTTAATAACTATTGAAGCGGAACAACTTCATCCAAAATACACGAACGCCAATGAGGTAATAACCAGATTACGATGAAAGTTAATAAATGTAATTTGAATATTGATCGAGATCTGGCTCAGAAAATCATCAAAGAACCGTGAATATGGACGCATTTTATTGATTACATTTAAGAGAAATTATGTACAACAACCAGTTTAAATATGAGTCATTGTAACCTAAAGCACTTTATTTGAATTCTCGTCAAGCCAATTTGCATGAATAATAGACGAATTCTTCCTAACTGTAGTGTTAATATCGAGGTTCAATAGCTAAATATATGCGTTAACCTATGCCAAGCTAACAAATTAACCATTCTTAAAATGTCCTAAAATATTCGGTGTTGCAACTGCATTTCTGGACTAAATGTTTTCCAAAATAAGATAAGAAAATAATTTTTACTATGGGGTTAAAAGGTGGAACTGATTGAAAGGATTTCATCAAGATTTTCATATTAATCAAGTAATGGAAACGAAAGGTTTACAAACTAGCATACCTAATGAAGTTGTCGAATTCATTTTCCGTTCATGAACTGCCTGGAAGTCGATTCCAATCTCATTTCTGTCTTCGGATCTAAAATTACAGCTGGAGCAATAAAAATAGTCGACCAGAGAGTTGGTCAAGAGAGAATCGTCGATTTGAGAGTGGGTGAGTGACTGAGGTCACTAGTTAGAGACTACACCGCGATCTCTATTAAATTGTAGGAAAATCGTGTGGGTGCAAATAGCTTACAATCTGTGAATTAATGCAAAGTACTCGAATTTAGCTTATTGCAAATAAACATGCTATCATCTCATGAATGCAAATGTCTACAAAAATTGCGCAGCAGGTAATCGAAAGACGCATTATTCTCATTCTTTTTGAACTTCACATAAATTAAGCAAATATAATATATTCATACTTTCAATAAAGTGACATACCTAGGATTAGTTAAATTTGAGCTCACATTTGGAGGTAAAATTCGCACATTATTACGTGGGTTGTTAGAGGTGTTGTCTTTTGATGTCACGGAGATCTGATGTGGCATTGCAGGCAAAGTCGAAAGGTTACTCCCTAATTCTTGATTTATATCATCTATATAGTGATCATAATTTATTTTAGAGATTAAGCCAACAATATTGGTCTGATTTGAACAAATTATTTTCGAGAGAATTTAATCAAACAAACACGAAAATGCACTACCGAACGTAAATTTCGTTTGCTGGTGCCCGTCTTCTAAATCCGAGTGGTACATATCGCAGTAATCTATAATTGTGCATAAGAAATGAAAATTGATTTTGAAATTGGAAAAGGAAATAATAAATACGGCTTGCCTGGTAAAAATTTTGAAACGAATTCATTTAATGAATTATTGGAATTGGAAGAAGAGGATTCCGATTTCGTCTCAAATCCTTCATTTGAGTTATTCCCTTTTGGCATTTTTGTTACCAAAACTTTGAATAAGCCAGTTATGAAGTAAAGTGTAATATCAGTATGTCAAAGTTGGTGAATAAATGAAGTTATTGGCAAATTGAATGATCAACCTTCATCCCGATTATAATTCATTAGATCAAAATTCTTGGATTCATTTATCAAAACATTATTCGATATTCTTAATTTTGTTGCATTATCAATTACGCTTTAACTCAAAATTTAGTCTCTATTTAGATTTAAATCAAGTTTAACTTGACATTAAACTGGAGGATTAAATTTCCTGACGCTTGCTAGAATACTTCGATATTGACTCTCCAAATAGTTGAGACTATGACAATATTTGCGGGAATCTCTTGGGGATTATTGAAGACAATGTTCAATACACTTTGTTTGCAAAAACAAATTAGCATATTCCTGGCATGTTAAGAACCAACTTTTTATTTTCATGGCATTCGCTCTAGCAAGCACAAAACGTTCCATGTGGTTCATTTCCTCATTTTATCTTGATTCGGCTTGTTATACATCTATTTACGAAAGGACTTTTATAACTTTTTTCAAATTTTAATGTGTTCAGCAGTTATGGGAACGAATTAATAGTCTTAACTTTTGAATAAGCCAAGAGGAGACTGTTATAATTTAGTATGCCTGAGACAGTGTCTCTTTTCTGAGCCTTAAATGCCAAATTTTTACAAATTTACCTGTTTGTCTTTAATAGCAAATTACCGATTTTGATATGAGTTTCATAGATCGTTTTATTTTCATTACAATTGATCAAATTTTGAGCGTCTGAGTAAAACTTAAGCAGTTTACCAACTATTGAATAATCAAATATTTTTACACCCAAAAAGCTACTATTTGGTGTTAATATTTAAATGACCATTATAGGTGATTATACATTTTTTGGAAGGGATGTAATTTCGAGCAGAATCTCATATAAAATGAATCGATTTTGACTTATGGAAGACTGGAATTATAATTCTAATTCAAGTTTTTCTCTGACATTACATACTCATATCTACAGATTCATAAATCAAGATATTAATTTGAATTTTGGTTAACTGTACTTACATTTGGAGCATCACTAAATAAAATAGAATCATTTGCTATATTTCCAAACAATGAAAAAATGATTTTCGCTGATAGATCGATCGCATTTTCTTTAATTATGTGGATGGACACGCTTCTTTTGTTTAGGCCTAATAGATTCCGTTCAATACGTGCAATATCTACATGGGTTATAAATTTATATTAGTATAAGACTGACCATATTAATGGTAGTAAATTTTTAAAATGATCACGAATATTCAAAAAAACTACATATGACACGAATATAAAATATTATTTTACTGCCATTATTTAAATAAGTCTATAGCACCTCAGGATTGGGTGGTGCGGACGTACATCACCGTGTGCAGCCACCGTACAAACGCTATCCACAAGTTTCACATATGAATCGTTTTTCGCAAGTCTATGTTTATACACTGTTAATTGCCATTAATTCAAAAGAGTCATTTTTTATTCATCACTAGTAAAACCAATTTGTATGCAATTAAATTACATGTAATCCGAGAAATAATGCTGACACTGGAATTTTGCTTATTAAAAGCAAACAAGCAATCATCCTGAGGCAACAAATCCATTTGAAAAACGCGCCATAAAATTCGCGTCCAATATTTGGTCTCGAGTTTGTTGCTTTTGTCGTTTATGGGTAACCATGCTCTTGAAAAAACTAATAAAAAAGCCTATTTTGTCATTTAAAAATGATTTTTTTTCTTCGTCAATAACTATATCAACAAAATGCAAATTCATAAATTCTCATTTCTTCTGCTTGTTGTTTCTGCATCGCACACACTCATTGCTTTTTTTTTGAGTTTCAATGAAATTAACAAAGTTAAAACTTTGAAGTTTCAATGTTGAAATGAATATCCTGCTGCAAGAATATAAATTTAGCTGGAATCATAAACAATTTACTTATGAAAAATTGTAATTTAGGCGTTTTTATTGCAAAAAAGCACAATGTAATTGAAGAAAAATTTCTGGATCAAATGAAAATGCTCTG